TGATGTGTTTTAATACGTGGGGGGGGGGGGGGGGGGAGAACCCATAGGAACGCATTAAACTCTGTTTAATGTGTTCCTATTGGAGAAAAACTCACCGCTATGTGGCTTCGTTGTTAAACGGTGCGCTCGTTAAGCGAGGCACCACTGTACAACCTGCAAATGGTCAATAAACTCTACCCAGCCACAAGGGCCCTGATCACTGCACACAAAAGACCAGCTAACAACACCCATCAACCACAGTGACAGATAATCTCTCCTCCTTATCACAACAATACACCCACAACAAAAAACACCCTGATCACCATAATCACCCAATCTCCTGAAAAGGACAAGAAACTGATCCCACAGCTACAAATAAAGTACTCAACTATCCCACACACGACACCAGAACACAGAGTTCTAGCTCCTGTCCTCTGAAGATGCCAGCCACAGAGACTGGCGAAACGTTAGGAAGAAAAACCTTAAGAACATGGCCAAACAGTGTGGAAAACCCACAACCACCATGGATCTAAACTATTTGCAGCAGATCAGCAAAGATTTCTGACTTCCAATTGTTTAACAATTAGAACAATGAAATAAATATCTATCTGCTTTTAACCTCTTCAGTGCTTTAAGAAAAAAAGCAAGGAAGGAAAATCAGGATTTGACTGTTTGACTTTTGAGTTCCATTCTGTGCTGGTACTTAAAGCAAACTCCTGGGTTCAGAATTCTTTAATCCTCACTACTTGACTTCGCTCTCCAGGATGTCTGGCTCAAGGTCAGCAACTACATTGTCTGGGTTGTCCGGGATATCCACATCTTTCTGATATAATTCCTCTGTGTATTCTTGCCACCTCTTCTTGACGTCTTCTGCTTCTGTTAGGTCCTTCCCATTTTTGTCTTTTATCATGTTCATCTTTGCGCAAAATGTTCCTCTAATATGTCCAATTTTCCTGAACAGATCTCTGGTTTTTCCTTTTCTGTTATTTTCCTCTATTTCTTTGCATTGTTCATTTAAGAAGGCCCTCTTGTCTCTCCTTGCTATTCTTTGGAAGTCTGCATTCAATTTTCTGTAACTTTCCCTATCTCCGTTGCATTTTGCTTCCCTTCTCCTCTCTGCTATTTCTAAGGCCTCGTTGGACAGCCACTTTGCTTTCTTGCATTTCCTTTTCTTTGGGATGGTTTTCGTTGCTGCCTCCTGGACAATGTTACGAGCCTCTATCCAAAGTTCTTCAGGCGCTCTGTCCACCAAATCTAGTTCCTTAAATCTGTTCTTTACTTCCACTGTGTATTCATAAGGGATTTGGTTTAGATTATACCTGAGTGGCCCAGTGGTTTTTCCTAATCTCTTCAGTCTAAGCTTGAATTTTGCTATGAGAAGCTGATGATCAGAACCGCAGTCAGCTCCAGGTCTTGTTTTTGCTGACTGTATAGAGCTTCTCCATCTTTGGCTGCAGAGAATATAATCAATCTGATTTCGATATTGCCCATCTGGTGATTTCCATGTATAGAGTCGCCTCTTGTGTTGTTGGAAAAGAGTGTTTGTGCTTGATTCTAGTGGATTGTAAAGCAGTAATGAACATCCTACACTCAAGGTGTGCCTATACTGTACTTCGTTTAGATTATTAAAGGAAGATAAGGCGAGGAAGAAAAACGCTTTAACCTTATTAATACATGACAATGATGTAATATTATACAATAAGTAGGGAGCACAGTGTTTGCTCTTAGAATATTTTACTTTTATTTGGCCAAAATTAAATAAAAAAGCAAGAACGCAATCCAGTTAAAAAAAAAAGTCTGTCCCTTTTTCCTCCTGGGATTCAAAGATTCAGAGTGGTCGCATAGACCAGATGGGCGGGATACAAATCAAATCACATATCAAATCAAATCAAATATCAAATCAAATCTAATCTCAAGTCAAATCAAAACTCAAATCAAATATATCAATCAATCAATCAAGAACAAAGGTGCCCGGTCCAGAAACGGTCGAGTCCAGCGAGGCACAACTGGAACGGCAAAGGTATTCCATTAAACCCAGCAAAAGCTGGCGCCAGGCAGCAGCTGCGCTCGAGGGACCGAACCTGCGGAACTCCCTGCCAAAGGACAAGGAGCTGCCAACGACAGGGAAGGGGGGGGGAGTCGCAGGGCGAGGGGAGCCTCGGCCAGGTCTTTTCTCGAAGCACATGTCCCGTCAACCCCAGTCAAGAGAATCGAGTCCAGCAACCTAGGGAAGAGAACACCCCCCTGCCCTGGCTTGCTCCAAACCACCCACCCCGTCCAGGGGCTTCGAACTACGATTCCCAGAATCCCCCGGGGCAGCCTCTGGAGAAAGCCGGGTTGGGAGAGAGGGAGAGGCCTCCGGGAAAAGACATACCGCCGCTCCCGACGCCGCTTAAGGGCTCCCCACACACACACACACCTCCGATGCAGAGACGACGGGTCTCCCGCCGCTGAGGCGGAATGTTAGGCCTCAAGCCTCGGCCTGAAAAGAGAGGCTCACCTCACCAACGCTCCGGCGTTCACAGATCGCGCCCGCAATGTCAGGCAACCTCGACCCCCGCACCCGATTGGTTAAGCCGCCGCTGCCGCCCGCGCACGCACATTCGCGAGAAACCCCCCCCCCGGCTCCGCGGCTATGTCTCGCGAGGGCGCGGCGTTGCCACGGCAACGGGGGAAAAAAAAGAAGGCGCGCTCGAAACGCTTCTTCGGCCCTATGGTTCCTCGTAGTGGGCCTGGCCTACTGCGCTGCTGTTACCATGGCAACCAAGGAGTCGCCGGGCCCTAGGGGGTCCCGCCTTCGTCCCAATCAGAAATACATAAAGCTTGAAGGGGAGGAAGATGGAGGAGGATGGCCTCCCTCAGAGCAATCCAAAAAATCCACTGCCTTCCCTTTTATCACTTTGGGTGGGGTTCATAGCCCTTCCTGTACTGTATACTAATTCCGTTCTTCTAAAGGCCCCCGTGAAGTGGGTCGGAATTAGCTCTACAAGAGGCAGCTGGACATTTTAGTCATATGGATTCCGTGGGCCACCAGTACAGGTCACGAAGGATTAATATCAAAAGTTGAAAAGTCAAGCTAAAGAACAAGGAAGTCGTAATAGGATAAATGTAACATTCCTGAAGAATGTAAAGACCGTATAAAGAACAGATTTACATTACTAAAGTATAACCTGCAAGAGGAATGGTAAAAGATCAAGACAGACTTATCAGATCAGGATTCAGTAAAGACAAGAGGGAATTGGAATACAGGAAAGAGATTACAGAAAAGAAGCGGAAAGGACAGATTCCTTCAAACAAGTCTTTTTGATTAACTTAAAATTCTAGAAAGTGTAGTAAAAGCTGATGTCAAAGCGTTTGTAAGAAATAAATCACCAGAAATGACTAGGATGCCTAAAGAGTTATTTCAAGCTGCAGAGATAGAGTCTACCTAAATAAGAATGCACCAACGAATATGGATAACAAAAGAATGAAAAAATTCAATACATATTTCTATCCCAAAGAAAGGAGACACTAGGAGTGCAGTGACTATGGAACTATTGCATTAACATCTCATGCAGCACAGTGATACTCAAGATCTAACAACAAAAATTGTTCCCCATGTATGGAGGAAGAAATACCAGGTATTCAAGCGGGATTCAGAAGCTGAAGACGCACTAGAGATCATATTGCAAATATACATTGGCTATTGGCTAAATATACATTGGCTAGAGAAGACTCCTTGGAAAAGACTTTGATGTTGGGAAAGTGTGAAGGCAAGAGGAGAAGGGGATGGCAGAGGACGAGATGGTTGGACAGTGTCTGCGAAGCAACCAACATGAATTTGACCCAATTCCGGGAGGCAGTGGAAGACAGGAGGGCCTGGCATGCTCTGGTCCATGGGGTCACGAAGAGTCGGATGCAACTAAACGACGATTGAGGAGTAGAGGAGAATTTCAGAAGAAAATAGTTTGTGCTTTATAAATTACAGCAAAGCCTTTAACTGTGGATCATGGAAAATCATTGATCATTCTACAAGAAATTATGGATCATTCTACAAGAAATGGGTGAGCCACAAGTTATAAGGTGTAATACCTGAGCAAGACAGCTGCTGTTCTGTCAGTCAAGCAATGCTGTATGTTCCAGAAACAAATTCAGCAAGTAGCAGTATATTATATACTAGTCACCACAACAGATGGCATACCTAAATTCAGTTTGAAGTCCTTATTTGAAAATAAGTGGGAAGGAGTGAAACAAACAAGGATACGCATGCACCAAGTGTTTAAACTACACTATTTATTTATTTATCTATTTTTCCGGCTTTTACACGACCCATCTAGATTCGATGAATCTACTCTGGGCGGTTTACATTTCGAATATAAAACACAATTTAAAACAAACAATATCAGACAACATAGAGATAAGCAAAGACCAAGATGGTAAGACTTAGGAAATTAAGAAATGGAAGTGGGGAAAGGCCTGCCTGAAGAACCAAGTCTTCAGCTTGTTCTTTAAAAACTCCCAGCAAGTCGCCTGAAGAACCAAGTCTTCAGCTTGTTCTCCCAGCAAGGCTGCCAGGTGAATCTCCAGGGTCAAGGTGTTCCAGAGCCGAGGGGCCACCACCAAGAAGGCACGGTTTCTAGTTCTCTCCTGGGCTTCTCTTGGGGTCAAGCCCCTTAGCCATCCAGCCTTGCTACATGTTGAACATGTTGATCAGGGAGATCAGTTAGACAGGATAGAGGTGGGAAAGGGCCTGAGTGGAGAAAAACATCTTTGCATTTCTATCCTGCAGAAATGTGACTTCTTACTCAGAGAAAAGAACAGATATGGTACATCTTCAACAGTTAGGCATCCTTCAGTCTCGAGAGACTATGGTCACATGCTCTGTATGGAGGACTTGGAACAGTGTCTGGTGTAGCTGAGAAGGCCAGTTCGAGAGTGGCCATCCCTTCCACACTGGAGACAAACACAGTCTGTCCCCCGTCCAGCTCCCTGGTTGTGTTCTTTCGGGACTGCCTCTTTGCCTTGGCCTGCTGACAAGGGTCTCTTCAAAATGGGAGAGGCCGTGATGCACCGCCTGCCTCCAGGCTGAATGTTCAGAGGTCAAGGTTTCCCATCTCTTGAGGTCCTTTCCTAAGGCTTTCAGATCCCGCTTGCAGATCTCCTTGTATCACAGCTGTGGTCTCCCTCTGGGGTGCTTTCCCTGCACTAATTCTCTATACAGGAGATATTTTTGGAATCCAACCATCAGCCATGCTCATTACATGCCCCAGCCAACGTAGACATCGCTCTTTCAGTAATGTATACACGCTAACATTCCAGGTACCCAACTTTAGGGCAGAAGTTTTCTTATAATTGTTGCATGGTGCAGGGTTATCCATCTGCTTGTCGGCTTTCACCCTAAACCCCACACACACTGTGAGGTTAACAGACTGTGGCGAGGTAGCACCTTACTGGCTGGGGACTGCCCAGCTTTAGGCAGGCAAGCTACCTAGTGAGGTGCAATGACCTCTCCCAACGTCAGAAGTAGCCCCTGGTGTCATTCTATATGCCAATCGAGGAAAGACTTATAACCGGTAACTGCTACTTCCCGTGTTTTTTCATGGTGGTGGGAGTCCTTTAGTTGTAGGTTTTTTGGGCTGTTTGGCTGTGTTCTGGAGTTTTTCTTCCTAACGTTTCACCAGTCTCTCTGGCTGGCATCTTCAGAGGACAGGAGTTAGAACTCTGTGTTCTGATGTAGTGTATGGGATAGTTGAGTATTTATAGCTGTGGGATCAGCTTTTTGTCCTTTTCAGGAGATTGGGTGATGACTGTGATCAGGGTGTTTTTTGTTATAGATGTATTGTTGTGATAAGGGGTCTGATTTGTCACTGTGATTGATGGATGTTGTTAGTTAGTCCTTTGTGTGCAGTGATAACACAAGGATCACATTGATCCTCAAGGACTAGTGATCACTGCACACAAAAGACTAGCTAACGACACATTAATCACAGTGACAGATCATCTCCGTCCTTATCACAATACACCCATAACAACAACAAAAAAACACCCTGATCACCATAATCACCCAATCTCCTGAAAAGGACAAAAAGCTGATCCCACAGCTACAAATACTCTACTATCCCACACACTATACCAGATCACAGAGTTCTGTCCTCTGAAGATGCCAGCCACAGAGACTGGTGAAACGTTAAGAAGGAAAACCTCTAGAACATGGCCAAACAGCCAGAAATACCTAAAGCAAGCATTTATGGTGTATTGTTTCCTGGTAGCACTTTTTGGCACAGAAAAAGAAGACCTACTCTACTTCTGTTTCTACTTAAAATTATTGATCCCCTTTAAGAGCTGGACCCATATCTTTCTGGCACAGGGCTTGGGACAATTCTTTGAGATGCAAAACAGGTCATTGTTCTACCTTCCTCCCAGGCAGGTACCAAGAGTTAAAAAAGATTGTACTGAAACTAAGGACCTTTTAAGCACCAGCCACATCACACCAAATGTCATTGTATGGACAGGCTAGGTTTGGTTGTCCCTTTCTGTTTTTTGGCTGAACCTTTCAGTCTTCCTTACAACAGTTATGCACTGATTAAGACAAAAGCAGTTCCAGCAACAAAAGGGGGACCCAGGAAGGTTACTAGAGGAAACAGCAAATACAATGACTCAGAATCTGCTCTTTCTGTAGCTTCTTATATGACTCAGCATTGGGTAGGTTCTTCCCTTTGACTGTATATTTGCTGTTCAAAGACTGTATCAAGCACGGTTTGATTTTTCTGTCTGTTTCGCTGCAAGTTCAAAGTTGTTCATTCTCCATTAAGTTAACCCTTCTCAAAAAGCCCAACCCTGGGCACGTTTGCTGGGAAGTAAGTCTTTCTCAGTACTGGATTGTATGATAAAATAATAAATCAGGGTGAGCAGCCTTCAAAGGTTCAAGGGTCTCAGCCAGCCACTGCTGGACTTGGAAGACTGCACCTGCATTTGCATCCCTGTCTATGCTGAAAACACTTTATTTATTTAAAAAAAAACACCTTTCTACTGAAAAAGTCCCTTTATGTGTCCTAAACACCAAAGAACTGGGGTGGCATAGGGTGCCTAAGGATGTTAGGGACACCCAAGATGTGGTCTGATTGCCTCCCACATCCTCTAGACTCAGGCACAAAGGAACTTTCTGAGTAATCGTATATTACATTTACCTTGGAGACGGTCTGGACCTTGTTGCCGACTGTGGAATAGATGATCCCAGAGCATGGTTATTCGAATAAGAGATTTAAAATTTAAAGTGATTTAAAAGAGATTTTTTAAATCTTTAGTGTTTGCATTTAAAGCAAGGTGTGCAGCTTAAGTACCACCCCAATAGTGCTTAAAGCAATCTCTGGGTGATTTACAATTTAATTATGCAGGCTACACGTTGCCCGCCCACCCCAGTGAGCTGGGGACTCAGTTTACTGACCTTGGAAGAATGGAAGGCTGAGTCAGCCTTGAGCCAACAAGCTGAGCCTGTCGGGATCAGAACTCAGGTCATGAGCCTAGTCTTGACTGCAGTGCTGTGGTTTCACCACTGCTCCACAAAAATAGAGTTTATGTGATGTTTGTTGTGTTATGTGGTTTGCTGTGTGCTTAATGTTGTTCTTTCAAAAATGGCATTTTCCATCAGACTTGTACTCCTCATGTGATGTCAGTCTCCATCTGTATCTTCTCAGATTTTATCTGGTCCTTTACCAGGGCCATGTTAGCTGCATTGGGTGCAGTCTACCTCAGCTCCATCACCAACCCCCAATCTGGCTTCTTGTTCTAGCCCTTCACAGTTGGCTTACATCCAGAGAAACAAGGCAGGCAAAAATGGGAACAGATGCTACTTTCCTTAAGTAGAAAGAAAACGTGTCCTCCTTAGCTAGCCACAAATTCAAGGAGAAAAGGCATGTGCTAAGGAAAACAGAGAGGAGGATGTGATTCTGTTGTGTTTCATGGAAACTGTGTTTGGTGCATATTGAGATAACTATAGAAATAATTGCTTTTTCTGTCAGTTACATGTCACTTATGCTGAATGCAGATATCGTACTACTAGACAGAGGTCATTTAATGTGGCCAGTAGTAGTTGGCTTTCATATACTTAGCAAGAGTGAGAAGTGAGAAATGCCTAAAGTTTTCAAGACATGACTATATTTCTTGGAGGTTATTTATTTAATGATATCTTCAGCTTGCATATCTTTCAAGGAGATCAAGAGGATAGACATAACTCAGTGGGTCTCCTTTAGCTGAGATTTAACTACTGGATTTCAGCTGCTATGTGTTTATTCCATTAACTCCTAGGGAGTATTTTCCACATTTCTGTATCAGTAGTTACACACTTGTAGACCATAAGACACAAGCCTGTTTTGGTGGGGCTACATCACTTCTACTGGAGACATCATTTGTAGTGTGCTTAAAGAAGTGATGATATTGGAGCTTTAAAATTCCTCTGAAGTGTTCCTATTATAGGTTAGCTTTCAATAGTCCTAAAGTTACTGATCATTGCATGAAATGATTCGATCTAAGCCTAATTCAGTTTATTTGGCATACTCTGCTCTTTACACAGAAAGCTGCTTGGAATATGGTGACTAAATAGCACCAGTTATCCAGACTGCAACCACCATTATGTAGAGATGTTAGATCCCAATCTATAGTCTCTTCCTGCCTTCTAAATTCCCAGCCAAGCCTGATGTTTATTCTAAGCATCTGAAGCATAAGGCTTAAATCATTTTAAAAGCTTGTGTCATAGTATTTCTCTTAGCTTTAATAACTATGACAAAGCCTTTGACAAAGTCCAACAGAGAAAGCTGATGATGTTGTTGGTAAATACAGATCTTGGTTCCAGAGAAATTTGTATAATTGGCAACCTGCATCAATAACGATGAAGGAACATTTGGAGCTTCTAATCAAAGATTTGATTGGACTTGATAAGGTTTCCTGAACCAGCTGCATTCTGACTTTTAGAACAGATATTTTCCTATCCCATCCTGTCCTGCTTTGAGATTGATAGGCACTCTAAAGGTCCTGTCCTGACAACCTGTTTTATCCTCAGGGCATGATTGAGGAGGATTCTGCCTTTTGTTACCTTTGCTTTCTCCATTCCCTGCTGAGTTCAAAGGGGGATTACAAATAATTACTGTAACTAGATTGCCCATTCTATGTAGGAGCTGGGAAATACTTTTCTTTATCTCTCACTGATCTAAGATGTCTCTCTTGAAGGATGAGCAGAAGATATTTTTGCAGGTCCTGCATAAGAAGCTGTGACAACAGTGAAAAGTAGTTTTTGACAGTTGGAAACTATCTAGGGAGTTCTGGTCATTTGATCATGAGACAGGGTGGTTGAGAATCACCACAAGGGAGATTCACCACAGTAGCAATGGCCACAGTGAAAGCAGAAGATGAGGTGGCAGAAGGCATAGAGGTGAAAAGAGGAATACAAGGATGAGCACTGTTATCACGGATTTTCAATAAATACATACTCCAAGAACATTTTTAGAGAAGCACTTGCAGAAGCACTTGAAAACATCCCTAACAATTGCTTTGTGTTTGGGTGAGAAGTGGTTAACTAATAAAAAAAGAGTCAGATTCCCCTCCTTGGTGTCTCTTTGTGAATGGTAGTGAACACAAGAGGGCATCCCATAGACCATCTTGACTGCGGCCATGGGTGTCGTCAGCATTCAGGCTGCCCTTGGCTATGGAACACTGGGCAGCTTTTTTCCTGCTGCCAACGCGGCCACGGTAATGTGCAGCAATATTGGGCCATTCCCTGGCATTTTGAATCTTGGATACAGAAGAACAATATCCCACATCCATAAATCAGAAGCTTTTTTGAAGAACTGAATGTCTTGGCTTTTTAAAATATAAATTTAAGTATAAATTAATTATTTATGCAGATGATAGCACTCTGATGGCAGAAATTAAAGAACCTTGTAATGAGGGTAAAAGAAGAGAGCACAAAAATGGTCTAAAGCCCCACATTAAAAAAAAAAAAGATAGTGGCCATTGGTCCCATCACCTCCTGGCAAATCGAAGGGGAAGATATGGCAGTAGTGACAGATTTTACTTTCCTTGGCTCCATGATCACTGCAGATGGTGACAGCAGCCACGAAATTCAAAGACGCCTGCCTCTTGGTGGGAAAGTGATGACAAACCTAGATAGCATCTTGCTGACAAAGGTCCGCATAGTCAAAGCTATGGTTTATCCAGTAGCTATGTATGGAAGTGAGAGCTGGACCATAAAGAAGGCTGACTGCCGAAGAATTGATGCTTTTGAATTGTGGTGCTGGAGGAGACTCTTGAGAGTCTCCTGGACTGCAAGGAGAACAAACCTATCCATTTTGAAGGAAATCAACCCTGAGTGCTCACTGGAAGGACAGATCTTGAAGCGGAGGCTCCAATACTTTGGCCATCTCATGAGAAGACTCCCTGGAAAAGACCCTGATGTTGGGAAAGAGTGAAGGCAAGAGGAGAAGGAGACGACAGAGGACGAGATGGTTGGACAGTGTCATCAAAGCTACCAACATGAATTTGACCCAACTCCGGAAGGCAGTGGAAGACAGGATGGCCTGGCGTGCTCTGGTCCATGGGGTCATGAAGAGTTGGACACGACTAAACGGCTAAACAACATAAATAAATAAATGATGCTCAAATTCCAGCAGCAACTTGAATTTGTCTTTTGGTTTCAAAAACAAGGACATATTTTCCAAAGTAGTGATGGCTGGAGACCTATTGGTATATTCAAGTGTGAAAATCTGTGGGGCTAAATTCAGTTGCAATACAGTACTGTAGTTGCACCGGGTTGTGAATGGCTCTGCTTGTGGTTGAAACAGGGAAATGGTAGTGACAGGGCAGAGTAACTCAGCAGCTGCCATTTTCATGCCAGGTGTAGCTCAAGACCAGGTGCAGCTTTCAAGTCACCTGGCTTTCATCCTTCTTTAAATCTTGCAAACCAACAAAAATAGGGTTTGCAGTCTCTTTTCTCATTTTGTTTCCAACTCATGGGAATAAAAGATACAGCACCAGACAGCTAGATTACGCCAGAGAAGAAAAAGGAGGGAGGCGAGTCTCCCGCTTTGGGTGTGTCTGCTGGCATTCTGCCTTTGCCCATCACACACAGGCTGTACATTTCTAGCGCTCTGATGCTGGAAAAGATTCTGATATCAAAAGAAACCCTCGGAAGCCAATTGATACTGTGATCTGGAAAGCTTTTCTGCCTTTCGAGCTTTTTTCTCTTTTCCCACACCCCTTCTCACCCCCCCCTTCCTATCGCTCTTTCTCTCCTCCCTTCTCGGATAGCCACAGCCCCCTAGAGCTGAGTCAGACCTTCCTCCTCTTCCACAGCATTGCAGCACTCCAGCAAGGAAAGCCAGCCTTCCGCCTCTCTGTCTTTTTCCCTTGCAGTCTCTTCTTCGCTACCCATCTCACCATCATGGCCAGCACCGTCTCAGGTAAAACCACCAATGCTTTTTCTTTCTAAAGCAGCTATTCGGCTGAGAATGAGTGGATTCGGAATGGTCCATTGGAAACCAGGACCTGCTCCTTCTTTTTTCAAGGTGGGGCTTTCCGGCAAAGCTATACACACAAGTGTCATTGTCTCTTCTCCACCTTTTGAATGCTTGCTTGCTTCTTGGATAGGTGGATGTCCAATAATACCTTCTCCATTTTCTAGGTGATTTCAGACTCATTTGCCCAAATGGGGTGGGATGGGGAGAGCCACTATTTCGAATGATCCTCATCATGATTATCGTGGTTAAACCCCAATTTTCTCTAACTGCAAACTGGCAATAGCAGAAAGGATGAAAAGAGAAAAGGGCAAAGAATCAAGCATATTATATAAAAATTACCAGACTTCTGGGTTAGCAGAAAGAATCTGGGCAGGTTTGACAACCAGAAGCTGCTTTAGAGGGAGTGGTCCCTCCATGGCGCTGAAAGAAAACCAATGCTGTTAAAACCATCCTTTCCTGCAGGGGCTATGACACCACTGCATCGCTGCACCCTGTTGCCCTCCCAGATCTCGGGGCCTGTCTGGAGGGGTGTGTGGACAGCTTTGCTTGCTGTGTGTAGCAGCAGGCTGGTGTGCTTTCTGTGTGGCTGCCGTGGCTTTCTAGTTCCTGAGCATCATCTTGCTGCATCTTTCCCCTTGTTGTCGTGGCTGAAGCAGGGGCCCTATGGATATCATTGGGGAAGAAATGAGTTAGTGGTGATTTTAAAAAAATCTAGACAAGAGGTTGCCCATGAGGATTTTGAAGACCCCACACTGTCAGTCTGGGAACCTTTTGTAAATTCAGGCACAGTTGTTGAAGGTTGGAGGGGCAGAGGGTGTTGTCCTAGGTGGGGGGAAAAGAGGGGAAGGGGAGTGAATGGTTTTCATATAGAATGCATAAATGCATCAAATACCCTATGACTAAGATCGGCTTCTCCTGCTGTTTTCGCTGTGTTTGCCCATCTCAGTGACATCTGCAATTTCTTCTCTGGGCTTCTGCCCTTTAAAATACAAGGAGACCATGTATGTGACTGTCTGCCTATCTGTATGTTTGGGGCGGTTCAAAATAAGCTTTGCATGAGAGGAGAGATCTGCCAGAAAGTTGACGTAAAAGATGCTTGCCCCCTGCTTAAAATAATAATAAAAAAACATTCTGTTTAAAGGAACGAAAAGCAGCAAAAATAACAGTAAGGCTGGAGAACTCTCTGTTCACCCCCCCCTCAGAAATATGTGACCCCCATCTTATTATTTATTAATTATTAATTATTAATGTAGAATTTGTCTACAGCATATAAATGGAAATACAAGGGTTGCTCGGGCTTCTTGGCAATGAAGGCAAAGGCTGACAGACCCTGCTGGGAAGGAGTGGGGGGGGGAGGGACACGTCTGGGTACCAGGTGCTTTTCCCATATGGTGCTCGGAAACAATATGGTACTTTCTCCCTTTAACCCCCACCAACAATAAATTTCAATTTCCTGACAATAGGAAGGGACCTTTAAAGCTGCGCAGCTGTTCTCAGAGGTCTTTTTTAACTCCAATCCTCTTTGCTTTCGAATTGGATTAAATTTGGCATAAGACTAGTTCCGAATAACATGGATTGCAGGATGACAGGAGTATGACAGAAATAAGAAAGAGAGTGAGGAAGACAAAAGAGCAGGATTAGAATGGAGCCAGCTCCAGTGAAGTCTTCTTGAGACAGGTAGCTGTCCCTGGTTGTAAGCCTACAAATCACAGAGCTGGTGGGGGGGGGGGACATTTATTTGAAAAAAAGGGGGGCTGGAGAGCAGCCAGAAGGGTCTTCCTCTACATCTGTGACAGAAGCTTTCTGAAGATCTAATTCAGACTGAAAACAAATGAATAAAAAAAAATCTGCACCTGAAAAAGAAAAGCATGTTCTCCCAGCCCTGTTCTTGCTTCCCTGTATTGTTCCCACTTAACTAGCAAGGGAAAGAACAGCACATGCTCAGTGGAGGCAGAGCTGCAGTGGTGGCTGAGATGTGCCAAAGGATTCTGTCCAGGCAGAGATCCTGCACGCAATGCCAGACAGTCCTGCATAGGTAGGCTAGACCTTCCTGAGTATTCGTCCCAAGTGGGCCATGCAAAGCTGCCCCACAAAGTGATTTGGCCATTTAGTATTTGGATGTGGAATGGATAGCTGTGACCTTCCCTGAGGATTATACAACGCAGTGGTGTATTGCAAGTCCTCTGGGACTTTTCTTCTGTAATGGACCCTTCTGTTCTTCCAGCTGGCCCATCCATCGGGCAAATTGTACATTTGGCTCTTGAAGAGCTACTGGGTATCCTGGCTGTGCACTGAGTCAGCAATTATCTGAGAAACTCAGGAAGCGTCCCCATGCCTATAAATACTGAATATTTTGGCCATACTGAAGATGGCGTTGATATGTGGCATTCAGAGGAGGAGAAAGACTTTCCAAGCACACATCCTCTGTGGTAGGAGGAGCCTTTTCTGGTTCCTGTAAACTGCTATCAGTGTTAAGAGTGTAGACTGGAAAGTTTTTGGGAAGTTGGAAAGGAAGGGGAGAGACATTCTTAAATATTTTAAAACAGTTGATGGGCAAAATAAACCGATGGGGTACAAATAATTATTTATTTGATTTTTAACATACCTATTTCCCCATAGAGGCAGCTTCCAGGATAACTGTATATAATGTAGGTTTCTGTTTATATTAAGAAATTAAGACTGAAGAGGAGGGAAGGAACCACAGGGGACCCGCATAACTGGGTTCCAACATTTCTCCTGAAATATATATTTTATTTTATTTTTATGCCTCCTATCTGGCCAAAGGCCACTCTGGGCTCATTACAACATAAAAATAACAGCATTAATCGTAACCCAACTCAACATAAAAATTCAAAATAGGCACAAAATATATTTAAAAATACATAAGGAGGTTTAAAAAGTAAGTGGTAGTCAGAGCAGGTTAGAGGTGAAGGAGGTTCAGATATCTGACAATAGGTTCCACATCCTGGTTTTCCATCTGAATGCATCAAAGGGTTCACACACAGGTTTCATTTAGGTCTGACAGTTCATAATGGCATTAATCATCATCATCATCTTAGAAGCTCAAAGGGACGCTATGAATCATCTAGCCCCTGTCGAGGTGCGGTGGGGAATCTCAACCTCTAGCTCTGCACCCAGACGTCTAAACCACTGAGCTACGTATTCATCCGTTCTTGCAACAGCAGCTAGGGCGACAATCAAAATTCTTCTAGTCTCTCTGTCAAGATACAGGTTTATTTATTTGTATTTGGCAAGAACTCACCAGCCATGCCCCAGGGATCTTACTGTATCAGATGGTACATGGCTGATTTGTAGATGACACGAAAGGAAGGGCATGGAGACCTGCCAGGATGGTAGAACAGAAGTCTGCAAGGACCAACCAAGGCTGAGTTCCAGCTGTAACAAACCCATTCATTTCCCCAAACCTCCTATTTTCAGAAAGAAAGTGGGAAAAGAGACGTTGGACCTAGACATCCAATGACTTTTCCAGCCGGCTCTTCATCTTCTTATATATTGCTGTATATTCCTATATATTACCATATAGGAACAGACATGTTTGTATTTATATTCATACACACACACACACAGAGAGAGAGAGAGAGAGAGAGAGAGATCATAGGCTGCCTCTTTTTGAACAAGGAAAGGTAAATCATGGTATACTTCATGGTAGTCTAAGGAATCTCTGTCCAACTGGTTACAAAGAAGGTGTGGATGGGAAATATTCAATCCACACTGTATGTCACAGCTGGAGACCTGTCTGTGCTATATAGAATTGTTCTGCATCATCCTAATTGACAAATAGTCAGTGTAGGTTCCTGCCCATATTGCATAGGGGCTCTGATCTTCTCTACAATTAGCTTAGAGTTCCTAATAATACTTTCAGAGATAGGCTGGATTGCTTGAGAAAACACAAGAATTCTGTGGCAGATATTCTTATTTCTTCTGCTGTCCAGTTCTCTAATGGATTCTAGACTCAGTTTTATTTGAGGTTTCCCCACCCTCCACACCTGTTTTAAAATCCTTGGTCTCTTCTGGCAGATTAGACTTCCTGATCAGTCCTTCATCAGCTGGGCCCTATATAAATCCCAGTGCACGCAACCCTAAAAAACCATAGTACCATAGCATCTCTCCCTTTCAGAGTATTTGTCTCTCTCATACATACATATAGTATTCCTCCACCTTTAGGAGTAGAAAAGGAATTTTGTCAGGCACAGCCTGTCATATGGGGTGAGAAAGTTGCATGTCCAAAGACTCCTGACTCAATCATATTGTTGTTTAGTTGTTCAGTCGTGTCCGACTCTTCATGACCCCATGGACCAGAGCACACCAGGCCCTCCTGTCTTCCACGGCCTCCCAGAGTTGGGTCAAAGTCATGTTGGTCGCTTCGATGACACTGTTTATCCATCTTGTCCTCCATCGTCCCCTTCTCCTCTTGCCCTCACCCTTTCCCAACATCAGGGTCTTTTCCAGGGAGTCTTCTCTTCTCATGAGATGGCCAAAGTATTGGAGCCTCTGCTTCAGGATCTGTCCTTCCAGTGAGCAATCATATCAGTAGTGATAAATTAACTGTATTTTCCAGGGAATAAAGCGCTAGTCTTCTGCCTGGAAAACCAACACATGCATGCAAAGAACTTACTTCTACATGGACAAATCCTGGTTCTGCCAGTGAAAAGATATTGGTCAGAAACCAGCCGTGGCTTTACCCTAGGATCGGTATCTGCATAAATTGCGGCAGCAAATTGCTGCTAGTTAACAACCTGTAATTTGCATTCCCCTCCTTCATGGATTGCTGCCTTGCCGTGGCGAAGGGGCTTGAGTAACTCAGAGAAGCTATGGGCTATGCCGTGCAGGGACACCCAAGACGGACAGGACATAGTGGAGAGTTCCGACTAAACGCAATCCACCTGGAGTAGGAAATGGCAAGCCACTCCAGTATCTTTGCC